GCTTAGCATACACAAAACCACAAACGCACTCAAAAACAGAAACATAAACATACACAATAAATGGAAAAAAGAAACGAATACAAAATCAAAGAAACACACAACACGACAACGACCTACAAACTATTCCCATAACATTTGACAACAAACATGCACTAAGGAACACCACTAAAAGACAAAAATAACATACCGGCAACACATATGGGACAGGGGCACAACAGGGAGACCCACTCACACCATTTTCAACAGAGTGGGAACAAGCTGGATGGGACTTACATGAAAAACAATACAACTACTCACGGGACATGGCAACATACTATATACGTTTTAACCTTAGACCCGACATAGACCCCAACTGTGACCACTGTGATGTCGAAGAGATATTACAACATATAACCATAGACTGCCAAGACTTACAAAGACAAACAGCTCGACAAACACTGACAAACAGGCCGAGGACAAAAGGACTGGACTACCCACCAACTAACTTAGACAGACAAGATAAATCGCTGATCAGTTGGCTCAAAGAATGGTCAGAAAATATAATAAATGACGACGACCCCCTTTGGTATAATAGTTCCCCCGACTTCTACCTAAATAAGGCATGTAAACACCGGTGTAGGCCTGTATCTAATACCTAATACTTTGTTAATTTACAGCTCTGTTAACTTACATCTTTGTTAATTTACTTCTTCTTGGTGGTTTTGTTTGACCCTTTCTTAATACTACTTATTATATTAATACTATTTATTTTGTTACTTTTCCTTTCTTTTGATTTCGCTTATTATCACCACTATTACTAAACTATTACTAAACTTTATTATTTCTTATACTACTATTAACAATGAACTTGGCATGTTTACTTATTTTTCTTTACTTCTAATTTTAAGCTTTTACTATTTTGTTATACTTTGCAACTTGACATGTAAACTTTTGTATGGGAAATAAATGTTGGGATCAACGGTCTTCCTTCCCGCTCATTTTTGAAGTGTGGAAAATGGGACACGCCCAACATAGGGCGCAGCCATTTTGATTCCTATGCCACAGTTTATAGCTAAAGAATCAGATCGCTCACTCTGCGTCGGCACTTTTGATCTCAATGTTCCAGTTTATACACTGCGCAACTCGGATAATACAATATATGACAACCGTCTATAATAAAACAGCAATCTTCTGCGTATCCTGAATTTGTATCCCTGGAGTGGATGTTATTTTGGAACTTTTAACTGGTCCGCGTGAGCTAACTGATGCTTCAGCAATAAACTGTGACTCCAAAAATAATATTCACTGACACTGATAGCAGCAAGCAAATTATCAGGTGCGTTTTAATCATCCGCTTCTGCTTCCGGAATTGTCGGTTTAGTCGTTTTAACCTGTCAGATTAAAACAAGAAAACCGACAATTCCGAAGCAGAAGCGGATGATTAAAATGCACGTATTAAAAATATTGCACCAAGATGTAGGCAACACGTAATAGGGCCGTTTGCACCACTTCAACTTACGATTACGGTTTAGCTAAGGTGTACCTTGACTTAAGGTGAACCTTAGGTTTGGTATGTTTTGCATAGGTTTCACTTAACAAAATCTATGCTAAGGTGAAGAACAACTTGGCAGCAGTGTAAAATTTTAGAGAATTTGTATATTACTATACTCTGTTTTTAAACTAAGAGGAGCGATTTGAATTTAAGTTGGCAATTCTGTAGCCTTCTGATTGGTCAGATTACAGTCAGTTTCACACATTACTTTTTAGCATGAACATCAGCTAATAATTGATATTCTTGACAGTTCTGACATTTTATAATTTGATATCTCATCCATTACTTAGTTTTTTACTTTCTTGTAAATAATAGTTCTTCAGTAAGCAATTGTATTGAAAATCTACAATTATGGATCCTTCTACACTGAGTACTATTAAAGGTAGCAATTCCTGAAAAGCCTTACAAGAAAGGGAAGACACCTTATTATTTTACATGCTGATTCTGAAGGTTTTGTAGAAAATGCATTATTGGTTTTTGAAGGTAAAAAGATGGGAGATTACCATGAAGAGATGAATTCCGAAGTATTTTAGAAAAAAATAATTTTATTACTGATTTTTTAAAACTAAAAATTGATGAATTTCTAACCAAAATGATTAAAATGTAACTAAATATTCAAGCAAATTTTATTTATTAGAATAGAATAAAACTATTTACAAAATTGTTATAACATTTAAAACACCATCTACTACTTTAGGGATAATCTTAATTTGGTACAATGAGAACATTATTTTCACAAAAAATATTTTAAAAATACTTAAAATTAATACATAGGTATGTATGAATAGTTCAGTTTAAAAAATATATGTTGCCATGTAGTGTTATGAAAATGTTGGTTCCACTTTTCAAAACAAATTCTGACTCATAGGCCTGTAAACTTTTGAATGCCTTTATTTGACCTTTAGCGCATTAACCATGGGTTAACACTAAATAAGCCATAATATCCACATTACTCATAGAAGAGATACCAGTTACTGTGTGATCCACTTGTCATTCACTGATTAACTTTTACTTTTTATACCTATAACAAATATATCCTTAAAAATGTAAACAGATCTTTATATTTTATACTAACCTGGCTACATCTGGATATTCCATTAACAATTTTCTTAAATATTTATTATCCATTTTAAAAAGATCATAGTTATTCTCAAAAAGTCGATTTCAAAAGCAAGAAAAAAGTATTTCTAACATCAATCAACAACCACATTGACTTTAATTTGACAGTGACATTTCGTTTTAGACACACATTTCAGATCACAATAATGTGAAATTTGCGACCGTTGTCTGGGACCAATTAAAAAATTACTTCTATGACATTTATTCGTTACTTAACCGCTCATTGGCCGTTCACCGACTAAGGCCGATAAAGATAATTATTTCATAAATTTTGAACACGACACTATTTCGAAACTCGCTCTTAGTAACAAATCTAGTTACTTTTCCCTATGTAAATGCGTCTTTTCAATTCACTCCTCCTATGGTGCGTTTGATTTGATCATCGGAGATCTCCGAGCGCTGCAAACGTGTTTGAATTGACACTTCGAGATATCCCTAAAGTGTTTGTTTTGCTTTGGAGCGAGAACATAGAGAGAGCTCGATGTTCTCAGAGCAGAAGGATCGAGAAGAGGGAGAAATTTGTCTTTGTCTCTACCTATCTCTTTCTAATTAACTTACAAACAAATTTGAATATCAAAATTAAAGACCAGGCAAGAAGTCAACAAATTACTTAGCCGCTTTTGTCTTATAGCTAAAATCATTCGTCATGAAAAACACAAAATGTGTGTTTGAAAAATACATTTTTTCTGTCCAGATCTAATCACCAGTAATCACAGTCATGGAGTATGAGAGCGAAGTGGGCATTTGTGGTAAATGCTGCACATCAGGGCCATTACCCCTTATTATTAAAAGTTTTTCCATTTTCTTTACTTTTTGCTCACTATTTTAACATACAAACCAGAAACAAGAATCACAGAAAAGCGAGGTTATGTTTTTTACTCTGTTTTATTTGATTTGATTCAATGCTCTATTGTGACGTCATCACTTCTCGGTCTCCTCGACGCTCGCTCGATCGAGTTTCAAATCAAACGCCCCTCTAGTTTAAAAACAGAGTATAATCAATGTCAGTGTCGAATTGTCATTTATTTGATTAAAGTTTGTGTTGTAATTTTGCATTTTGTACTTTAACAGTTAAGATGGACAATAAAATAAAATTAAAAACTTAAACCAAGTGTTAAAGAAAAGAGTTTATTATTAAACGTTCTATACCGCTATCAAAACTTTCAAAATATTGCGTTCTGTGATAAATATGTCGACATATCCCAAAAATAATTAAATTTAACTCATCAAAATCGTCATCATCATCGAAAATATGTTCCAAAAATTCCATTTATACTTTATTTCGGCCACACTTTTATCTAATTCTAATTATATTATTTTCTATTGATAAACATATTAAACTTGTCAGATTGACGTTAAAAACACGCAAAGTAGAATTTAAACCGATGATACCTTCGGCTTAATTTCACTATTACTTAAGTACAACTTAAACTATTTGGATTGTGGTCAGAAAATGAAATGTGCAACTTAGGTGATACTCAAAGTTAAGGTTCACCTAAGAGGAAGTGGTGCAAACGGCCCATAAGGGATCAAAATGGCAGAGTTTTCTATCTCCTTTTAAAAGGCAATCAGAAAGCTGCGCAGTGCAACCATTCTCCGTTTAGTAAAAGAAAATCAAAGTATGTGGGTGCCAGTACTGATTGATACATATACTGGGGTTTAAATTTGTCCGCAACATCTTTCTGACAGTACGCTCTTCCTATGTTGTCATATCTCTTCCATCAAATATCCTAGAGATAAACTAAATATAAACTAGAGATAAACTACAGATGGTGCTTCCGAACAACCTAACCAATAAAAAATAAGCCAAATATTGAGGTCAAAAAATATATGAGATTGTTTACCTAAGGTTAAACCCACTTTTGAATATTTTTGATACTTTTATATAATAACACCGCAGGTATTCGTGAGACAATTATCAACTTTGTTGGAATTTCTCACCAGCCAGCATTCTATAAATTTAATAAACTCAGGACACTCCAGTTATTTTAATGTAGTGGTGTAGCCAAAGAGGCATTATTTCTGTATAAATAATAAATCAATAAAAGTAAGTAACTAATGATAGTGATTACGTTGATTTATACCGAAACTGGTTGTGTTATGCACACCAATAATTAAACCATAGGTATGTTAAGTAACTTAATATATGATAAATAACCGCAAAGTTGTTAAAACAATTCAAGTAAATGTTTTTTTATCGCATTCCAATTAATTCAGACCAATTTGTGAATAGAAAAGTTATAAAATATTGTAATTAATCATTATTTGTTTGCCTGCAATTCTAATCTAAAAATATTAAAAACTAATGGATAAATTTTATTTTTTATTTTTGTAACAACTTAATATTAACTAACAAACTAATATTACCAGGCCACGTGTGATTCTACTGATACAGCACAGATATAAATATCGTTTTAAAAGGAAAGTATTTGTAGTATAATTTGTTTTTCACCTAGCAAGTTGATGTGAACATTTACACTAGAACTAACTTTAAATTAAAACTTCTTTTCGAAACATGAACTTTTATTTTACAAACTTAGTTTAACCCAACAAAGACATCATAGCCTCTTCCTCAAAGTATTTCGGCTGCACTGATTTCCAACCTAAAGCAAACACCTCATCAGGACTTTTAACAATTTTAATAAGATCCGGTAAATCCGGAGCAGCTACCATGTAACCAGGAAAGTAAGAAGGTGAATGAGAACCCCTTAACTGAACTCTATTCACGTATTGTACCGGATTTGTTTCTACAAAATATTCGACTCCCTTCATTAATTCGGATTCTAGATTTCCAGATTTTTCCAGCTCGTCTAAATTATAGGGATCTAAAGTATCTATTGGTACAGCACCTACAATGTTAACTAAAGGCTCTAAATTGGCATTAATCCAAAGAGAACGTTCATCTTGAATCATTGGAAATACTCTAGGATTAACCCTTCCTGATTCTGGATACTTTTGTGCTTCTTCCATTACCCGATTAAAGATATCAGTAGTTGGAATGTTTTCAGGATCTGCACCAGCCATCCTGTCAGCTAATTTTGTCATTTCTATACTGATAACTTCTTTGTGAATATCTGTTGGTACTTCAGTAGGAACCACAACATCTTGAAGAGGACCTGGAGTGACTGAACTCAATTTTATGAAGTGTTCATTGGGTGATTCTTGAAATAAACTATTAAAAACTTGATCGGGACTTGATTCTGGTTTGATTCCAGTTTCAACGGTGTACATTACACTGGCTATAGCTTCCGGAGATAATTCTTCCTGAGCATCATCTGCTGTAACTTCTGGTTTAATAATGGATTGTTCCAGTAAAGCTACAGATTCTGCGTTCAAACGCATTTGTTGTAATCTATGTTTAATTTCATATTTACCTGGTTCTAATAGCAAATCAGGAGGCATCATACTTAAAGTATTATTAACATCCTCTTTTTCTTCTTCAACTAATCTAGATAATTCATGCGGACTTATTCCTATGTCAGGTGCAATAGGCGTGGTAGTAGCCCTTTGATAATCTTTGGTTACGGTAGTAAATTCAGGAGTTATTGATACAGTACTAGTTGTTCCAATTAGTTCTTTACTATCTGTTGTACGGTACTGCGGATCAAACTCTTGAATACCCATTTCTACGTTTTCCATCATTCCAGTTGATTCGTTTAGATTTGATATTGTTACATTTTTAATAACTGTTTCACCTTCATCATCTCTTTCTACTCTTTTTTCCAAAACAGTTTGTTGTAGAATAGGTTCTCTTCCTGCGGGAGTTGCAATGAGTTTCTTTGGAACTTGATATTCAGTTTTAGCTTTAGCTCTTACTTTCTTTCCCGGTTGAACGGTTGATTCATTCAATAAAGCAATTTTAACTTTTTTCTCTACTCGAGTGGGTTTAGCTTGAAAAAATAGAATCAATTAAAATAGTGTCTAGATGCGAAACCTGGCAAAACATCAAAGGATTTTGAAGTGAGAATATTTAATTTACCTACCATGAAGCTTATAAAAGCAATTTTGAAAAATATAATTTTGTTCCCCCTACGTTCCTGGCTCCCTCTCAAAACTTATCCAGAAATTAGCTAACAAGCATAAAATCTGCACTACTATCAAGTAATTTTACTTCCCCTTTACATCATTTTTTATTTTATTTATCAACTTTCACTTTTGTAGTTTAGTTGAAATAAATTTACATACCTAATGCTCTAGTAGGAGCACCTCGTGCTATAATCGAAGAATCTTGAGCAGCGCCGCGTCTGTCCAAGCCTGGTCTTTGTATCATAGATATTTCCGATGTGTTAGGCTGCCTAGGTGGTACATTTCCACGAAATCCAAAAGATCTAGGCTGTGTAGTTTCTACTGCTGCTCTAGAACTAGCAGCCCTAGGTACAAAACTTCCATCCATTCCCACCATTGTACTATTAACTCCAAGAGCAGGTCTTGTAGGTATCTGGCCACCAGATCTACTAGTTGTAGTGACATTAATTCTAGAAGCGTGTGGTAGTGGAACGCTCTGACTTCTTTGTCCAGAAGGTGGTGGCCTCATAAATGACTGTTGTAGTCTGGACTGAGCTGGAGGTCGTAATCCTGATACACCTGGTCTTGCAGACTGTGATGGAGGCCGTAATCCTGATACACCTGGTCTTGCAGACTGTGATGGAGGCCGTAATCTTGATGTTTCTGGCCTTGCTAGGTGAGTTGGAGGTCGATATATGGACATCTCTGGTCTTGCTGACTGAGATGGCTGTCGTAATCCTGATGATCCTGGTCTTGTTTGTTGGTAAGGAGGTCGTAAACCTGATCTAGGTCGTTGAATTTGGGAACGTAAACCAGAAGGATCGGGTCTAGCTTGTGCAGGAAGTTGATTTTGACAACATGGGGGAACTTCTTCAAGGTTTAATTGTCTTGTTCGTGAGCCAGGAATGCCTGAAGGAGTAGGAATGCCTCTTCTTTGAGCCATTATATTTGTCAAGGATACTATAATTTAGAAAATGAGATGTTCTTCTAGTTTTAATTGGTTCTTTATACTAGGTCACGGATTATGACAGTTATGTCATTCATCGCGTTAAGGGTTGATATTTTAAATTTCATATTCTTCTTATTTATTTACATGTTTTCTATAATGTAAGGAATCAAAAGAAAGAAAAACAAATAAAAGGAAGGAGAGATGTTGGCTTCAAACCAATCAAAACTTAGACTAGGTATTTATTACCTAGTCTAAGAATCAAACAAACCTTCACCCTTACCCATCTACTTTTTCACATACTTTTACGAATAAAAAAAGCAAAAAACCTTATTTTTACAAAAATGTATATTTGTTTAATAATAATTAAGTCAATATTGCCTATAGATAGAGAGTATGAAATACCGATCGCCATTTTTACAAATAGTCGGTTTTGTTTTTTTTCTAAATCAAGCTTCCATTAAAGTGTAGTAAGACTAATCCTCAATAAATCACTATACGGCCGTAGACCAGTTTTTTTCTTAATAAAAACTAGACGGTATATCAATTACAAATTGACATCGAATATGAGTCGCGGCTTTTCCTTTTTTACTCCAAAAGCCTATTTAAACATTCTTCCTAGTTATCACATATGTATTATCATAATATACAGTGTGTAAAAATATATTTAAGTTTTTTTTAAGTCCTCTTAAAAATTATTTATAGTTTACTAAAATGTTCAAGGTAATTAATTATAAGGTATTTCTAACCTCCAAAAAAAATGGATAAAATTGGTTTTTTTGCATGAACGACCCAAAAAAGGAAGAAATGAAGAAAGGGTAAAATAAGAGTCTCAGACAAGCTGTTGAAAATTTTAGTATACAGAGTGATTTCATATCAAATTACGCCCAACGTAGGGCGTTAAATTTTTGGAATAATTTACTCGGAAAATTTGTATACAGGGTAACCCATTAATCGGTAATTGCTCGATAAATCTATTTATGTTGCTGAAACAAACAAAAATTATATGGATTTTAAAAGGTCATATTTTAAATTTTTTATGAATATACAGGATGTTACGCTTTTACTTGACAAATAAAAATATATATTTTTTTAAATGGAACACTCTATATTTTATTTCAGTTTTAGAATGGTCTAGTAACAGGTTACCCAATTATACATATACAGGGTGTCCCATCAGTGCGTAAATCTGCGATAGCGGTTTTATTATTGGAGATACGAAAAAAATTTTGATACAGAAGTTTTAGGAGGATATTTTACAATTATTTTTAAATATACATGGTAATTTATAAATAAGGGATGGACCAAACTTATACTTTTTTAGACTAATCAATATGATTTGGTTGTTTTCCCATCGTTAAACAATTTTAATAGACTTAAAATGTTTTCTATTTTCATTCATTAGTTATTATGTATACAGGGTGTGCCTAAATGCGAGATTACGATATTTTTAATTTTTTCAAATGCGATACCAGGTATGTTATTCAACCAATTTATAAATTTCTTTATTTTTTTAATTTTGTTTAGCATTGCCTATACCGAACGCATTTTTTTCAAGATTTTGACGGTTTTCTTATAAAAATTAACATTTTTGTAATTATAATTGACTTTAGAAACCTTGGTCAGCTACAAAACTACAAATAGATAGGTAGGTTTAATTGATTTTTATAATTCTTCAAATTAATTCTTCTGAAAATAAAAGTGTTTTGTGTTCTGATTATCATTAATAGGTCTAGTTTGAAACATTTATATAATTACAGGTAAAACTTTATGACAATTAAAAATAATGGATTTCCGTTTTCCTGACGTCACAAAAATGTGTTTTGGTAAGAGAAATGTAAAAACAAATTGAAACTAAAGAATTTTTTTAATTAATTAGTTGGTGGTATAACATACAGGGTATTTCATTTAAGAAAATTGAGAAAATCGTAACTTTGAGATTTGACACACCCTGTATACAACATAGTAAATGAATGAAATCTTATAAAAAAATTTGACGATGAGAAAATAATCAAATATGTGTAACTACTTTTGCTTTAAAAAAGTATAAATTTTGTCAGCCCTTCGCTTATGAACCATCCTGTATATTTAGGAATAATTATTAAATGTAGTCATACAACTTTTATATTAATATATTATAATTAATTACGCACTGATATATTATGTATAATTAGAAAACCTGTTGCTATCGTTGGATAGGTTAATTTATAAAGAAAATTATGCTAAAATAATATTTAGAGTATTGTATATGAAAGAAATTGAGTAAATTGAACTTAAAATTACCCATAGTTTTAAGATATGTTTCAAGACACTCTGTATAAAATAAACCAGTTCTATCACCACTATTCGTTAGGTTAGTATCTTACAAGTCTGTATTTTAAACAATTTTGAAATTTTTGCTAACATACCTAAATTATAATTTAATTAGGGGTCTGCATCATTCCCTAATTTCACAAAAAAATATTTTTTAAAAACATTCTAGTGTTGAATACAGTACAGGGTGTCCCAATGAAAAGTAGTCCGTTTCCATTTGATAAAATTTGGTTACGGTGAATTTAAAAAAGGAGATTTTTAAAAAACACCCTGTATAGGTAATACATAATTTTTGCGTCATTGAAGCAAAACTTATAGTAAAATAACACGTATCAGCAAAAACCGCACATTTCTACGATTTGTTTATAGGCACTGGAAATGGGCTACTTTTCTTTGGGACACCCTATATTACCAAAACATTCTAAAATTGAAATAAAATACAGGTTTTTCCATTTGAAAAATATATATTTTTATTTGCCATGCAAAAACGTAACACCCCGTAATTTCTAAAATATATCTTTTTTAAATCCATGTAACTTTTATTTGAATTTTGTACACTATAATTCGGGCTCCAGATAACACACGCATATTCCATCTGAGATCTGACAAACGCTGAAAACAGAAGGTTAAGTGTTTAAAACCTAATGAACGAAACGCAGAGGTAACTGCCTCTTTACGACAGAATGACATTACATTACACTTAGTTGGAATAAGTGGGAGATTATTATTTTTGCACCACGTGCAATTATGGATAGTAATGGCCCCAATACGAAGCCTTGTGATACAACTGACGTTTGATGTGAGATGTGAGATTTTTGTCCCAACATTTGAACATATTGAGTTCTTTTAGAGAGGTAAGAATAAAAGAGAGCAGCTAGAGAATCGCTCAGCTCTTAAGCTTATTTAATAGTAATCCATGATCTAATTTATCGAAGGCCTTAGAGAAGTCAGTGTAGATTACATCTACCTGACTTCTCCTGTTTAGTGCATCACATATATATTGCATTATTCTGGGATAATAAGTAGATTGATATGATTTGATAAATAGTCGTGACTTACAATTTATTTAAAATAGTTTAGCATAGTTAGACAATATGGCTATCGGCCGACAGTTAGCGATATCATTTTTATTTCCATTTTTAAACACGGTACAAATTCTGGATAATTTCCAGCGACTAGGAAACTTTTTAGATTTAAGCATCAAATTAAAAATCACAGATAAAGATGCACAATCTTTTACTAAGAAAGCTGGAATTAAGTCTGGGTTTTAGGTTTTAATTTTTTTGCAGCGACCTCTATTTCTTTTTCTGTAAATTTTTTTATATATAAAACATTGTTATTCGTTATTGAGTTTGAAGTGGAATATAGTCGAGGAAACAACATTTTTTGAGAAGAACTCAGCAAAACCACTGATGACTTCTTGCGGTCCATTATAGTCCGTACCATCTAAATTAATATCTTGTGGAATTGATGATTCGCCTTTTTTGGATTTTATGAAAGACCAAAATTTGGAAGGGTCGAGAGCGATATCTGATTCGGTTGATCTAATATAATTTTGGTAATCTAATTTTGTTTGCTATGCTATTTTTAAAATTGACATAAATCAGCGTCATTACGGCTCTTTCGATATTTGTTCCAGGCCCTGGACTTTTTTTGGACAAAGCCAATAATATAACCATTGAACCAAGCAGTATAATGACGTTTGGTTACTTTTTTGAGTGGAAAATTTCTATGGAACATGTCGTTTAATAAATCGTAGAATAAATCAACAGCTGTATTTACATTGTCACAGTCAAGTCAAGGTATAAATTGCATTTTTTAAAGTTGTACCCAGCAGTAGATGTTGAAAAAGCTGATGGACAAAAATTTTGTAAACGTAACTCAATTGTTAGAGCTGGATGGTACTTATCTTCTAGAACTAGTGGATCAATAGATTTTGGGACACTGCAACTATTATTAGAAAGTACAAGATCTAGGATTCTGTTATAAAAGTTGACACACTGATTATACTATGATATATTAATAAGATAGTTTATAAAATTTATTAATGGCAGCGATTTTCTACTTCATAAGGTAAGTACCCTTGATGGGACAAGTATATTCTGGAATGTTGAAGTCTCCTACTATTAAAATGTTTTCATTATAGATAGTATAAAGTGACTCTAAGGCATCAAATAGTTTATTATATTCGTCAAAATGAATACCTGGTGGAACATATACAGTGTGTCTGAAAAAGTTGGCAACAAATGGGAAACTTTTTTATTATTAAGTTTAGGAAAAAACGTCATTCTTCATAAAAAGTTCTGCAAGGCCTAAAACCCAATATACGATAATCAGATATCGAAATTTTCCAATCGTATACGAGGTTTGTCAAAAAGTATGAATTTTGCTCAAGAGTAAAGTACCTTTATTTAAACGTAGTTTTCAATTCTAATCAACTTTTCTTAATAACAGTTTTAGATATTGTCGAAAATAAAGGTACTTTACTTTTGAGAAAAATTCATACTTTTTGACAAACCTCGTATACGATTGGAAAATTTCGATATCTGATTATCGTATATTGGGTTTTAGGCCTTACAGAACTTTTTATGAAGAATGACGTTTTTTCCTAAACTTAATAATAAAAAAGTTTCCCATTTGTTGCCAACTTTTTCAGACACACTGTATACTAAAAATATACATGTTTTTAGAAACTAGAAACTTAATTTTGTAGCAGGTAGGTATTTCTTTGAATAAACCAACTGAAGAATTGTGATCAAATAGAGACGCGTTAAGATATTTTTTAGTTGCTAATAGGACGCTTCCACCCCTTGTATTATTCGTGAAAGCATACCTTCTATCAGAATGAAAAACATCATAATAATTTAAAATTAGTAGCTCGCCATTATGGAAGTCATCATTATGCCACGTCTCA